TTGTGTGGAAACTCTGGTCTGGGCCTAAGTCTTTTCAGCAAAATACACTCCCTGCAGTTCTATATTCCTGACCAGTCTCCACTGAGTGGTCCTGTGCTGAGTGGAGGGCAGATCAGCTGTCCATGCTGTGCCCCAGTGTTCCTCCGGTGGGCCCATCTCCCCCACTGCCCGCACTTCAAACATTTCTCATGGGACAGGCCATGCTCCAGTCCCTTGCCATGACTCACCAGCCTCTGAGCGGCTCCTTTTTTCAGTTGTCTGTGGCACCTCACTCCTATGTGAGTCCACAGGAACCCTGTTGGTGGTCTTGTTGGCCTGGGGTCCACCAAGGCCCTCTTCTCCCCTGCCATCTCCAAGTAATTTTATATGAAGGGCTCAGCTGTGGCTTTTGCCAGCTCCTGCTCTGTGTGCTCACCAGCTCTGGCCTTGTAGCACCAGGACTTGAAATGATGTGAGCAGTCCTTTCTTTCTCTCACTGTGGCCTCTCCTGCCTTCAGGAACTCTGTAGGTCTCTCCTCCTCTTCTCCTGAGCTCTAGCGGCCCCAGCTTGGCTGTTGTTGCTTTTTAATAATTGTAAATTGGTTGATTTGTGGGAGAGAGTAACACTGGGGACCATCTATTGTGCCATCTTGACCAGAACCCAATTTTTTTCTTAGCTCTGAAATGAGTGATTTTTTTTTAATCTCATTCAGTTTTTATCTCATCTTTGAGCTGCTTTTATTTTATTTTATTTTATTTTTTCCTTTTTGTCTTTTTTTACTGACCGGTAACGGGATCGCAACCCTCGGTGTNGGGAGCGCCGCCACACTCCCAAGCGGCGCACTCTCCAGTGCGCCACCAGGCCGGCCCTGAGCTGCTTTTATTAAAATTCATTTTTAAGTTCTATAATTCAGAAAAAGTCCAAATGGAGAATCTCCACCTTGGGTAATATTTTTTCCCAGAATAAAATATTTATCTTTGTATGCCATATTTTTTTGTTATTGTTTTCTAATTCCAAAATGTGTGGATAGATGCCACCTCTGTTTTTTTTCCCTCTCCTGTTAATGCTTAGTAGACACAGCCTTCTCCAGATCTTGTTCTACACAAGCATTTTAGGTGGATTCTCCCTGATTCCCTTTCCTCCCATCTGAGCATCTGTGCTTGCCTGGGAGCTGCAACTTAAGGGCTGAATACTGCTTTCTCTCAGCTTTCCTATGACGGAACAGGAAAGGGAGAGGGGCTCTGGCAGGGCTGTGTGTGGCAAGCTGTTTTCATTTGACCAAGTTTCCTTTCGGACCGTTGTCTCTGAGTGTTATACCCACATAGCTGTCATCACAGCAGAAACAGAATTTTGTTTTCAGCTTTTTCCACTTAGCATTGTGAGGTAATGACATTCCACGTTTCTGAGTGGTCATTACAGTCAACATTTTAGTAGCTGTGTAATATTCCCATCCTTTTACTTCACAGACTGAGGTGGTAGAGAAAGAAGGGCTAGGCCATGGTTCCAGGCATGGCTCTGTTACTTACCAGTGCGTGAGTCTAACCTCTGTCCTCTATCTCGCTATCCCTTTCTAGGAGCAGCTGCTCCCTCTCAAGGCTCTGGCTGCCCTGTTTGCATGAGTGACCCACCCCCACTCTTCCGCCCACCCTCCCTGAATGGCCATGGTCTTTTGGACCACAGGTGGGCACCTGATCCAGAGGCACCATACACCAGGTTGGCCAGTCAGATCCTCTGTCAGCCGTAGACTTGATGATTTGACATTTGAGTTATCGATGATAGTGAAGCAGCTGGAGTGAAGGTTCGGGAACTTTTGGTGAAGTTTCTAGACTTACCCTGGGTTTCTGGCCTCCCAGGCCTTGGTTATTCAGGGTGTCCTTGGATTCTGAGAGCTTTGGATCCTTATAAAAAACTTTTCAGTAGGACTGGCTTGAAGAGGTTTCTGCAGTCGGTCTGATCCTTCCACTCTAACTTTTCCTGTTCTCTGTTTATCCATGTATAAGAGGGGATGAAACGAAGCACATAAGTAAATTCCCAAGCCCTGTGCTCTCTCTTTCTACACTGTTGAATATTTGAGTTCTTTTTAGTTACTCGCAATTATCAATAACAGCAGGGTTTTTTCCTCACTTAAAATTAGTTTTTTAGGGTCTGTCAAGACTACTGGAAGAAAGGATGTGTTCTTAATATACGTTGCCATTTTATTTCCAAAAGGATTGTATCAATTTGCACTGTATCCAGCAATATATGAGCAGACCCATCAATTCTACCAAACACTGACCATAACTGGCATTATTTTAATGCATTTGTTATTACATAGGTAGAGGGTAAAGTGGCTGAGTAGGCATTACACTGTAAATCTAAAAAATTTATTGGTCACCTACATGCCAGGCATAGTTCAACAGGTATAAAATGTTAATTTAATTTGCATGCCTTTATTAGTGACG